AACATTTTACAAAAGTAAAATGGATTCTTGAAGGTTTCAACTTCAAAAATTTATACAAAATATTAATTATTTATGTCAAAATTGTTGTTAATAATGATGTTAAAAAATAGCTATTTTTATAGTTGTAAACATTCACAATAACCCCGTTATTTTCCAATATAATTTATTTTAACAAGTTGATCTGAATAGGTGATTAAAAAAACCTTCTACGACCAATAGGAACCAAAATATATATATTTTTTGAATCCATATCTCCTTTGTTTTTCACAGATTTTAAAGAAGGATCTTACTTTTATGATCCAATTTATAATTTTACTATCAGTTCAAAGGTTTTTAAGTAATATCACCCTAAAGTGAAGGTACTTGAGTAAGTATCTCCGGTTGAGGTGGTGGGGGAATAAGCTCTACCTCGATTTATTTTTTGAAAGTGAATATTCAAATCGGAACGCATCGTAAAATTTTGCATTATCTCGGCCTCTAAGCAACGTAGAAGCTTTTTTCAATTTGGGGTAACATCTGGCATATTTTCATTTTCCTGGAAAATCGGAAATCCCAGAAAACTTAACACGTTGTATTCTTCAAAATTGAATTACTATGCCATAACAAATATAACAATAAAAAAATCACTTTTTCTCTCACTCTATTGAAATAATTTATATTTCACAATAAAATTGTTTAAACAATTCATAATTCAGTTAATTGGTATACTCTTAACAAAATACACTCTAATAAATTGTAAAAAAATATTGATTCACGTTTGTCTTTCATTTATATTTATTTTATTTGCATTCTTTGTGTTATAATAATAGTATATAATGTAATTGTTTTTTATAATATTTTATTACTTAACTAATCTTGATCCTCCGTTCTAAATCTTTTATTTGGACGCTCTACTTCTTCAATATTTGTATCACTCATTTCTTCAAATAAGTCGTCGATTTTCTCAGTCTGCTCTTCATCATCGTCAATTCCAATTACAGCAAGGTTGTAGCATTTTCTATCAAACATTTTTATTTTCGCGCGTATTGTTCTTAGAAGGTTATTTAGCGTTTTTTAACCACCTATCCAAAGCAACTTGTTAAGGTAAAGAAATATTTTGGAAAATAAAGAAAAAGACGAAAAGAAGTTATTGTTAATGTTTATAACTATGAAAATGGCTATTTTAACATAATTTTTAACAATTTTGAAATAAATAATCTTTTGCATAAATTTTTGAAGTTGAAACTATTAAACCGATCCGGCTGGAATTAATCACATTTATACTAAGTGACATATAAATCCGAACACCCAGTTTAAATGGTTTTATTTTAATAAAAGTTGGTGAATGTATTTATCTTACTGTAAATAACAAGTGAAAAAATTTTCAGCCTTATCAGTTGGACATTCCGGTTTTTATACTGCATTTTTTAATTCACTAACGCTCTAAAAATGAATATTTCAGCCGCGGAGTACGGAGACCTGTACGATTTCATCAACTTAGTGAGTTTGATAGGGGCCGTATAGTGCGACTTCGGGAAGCTGGACTTTCTTTTCGGGCAATTGCAGTTAGAGTGCAAAGAAGTTTAGACACTGTGGTTAGGTGTTGTCAGGCATGGCTTCGAGAAGGCCGTACGCAAGGAGCAAGGGGCACTGGACGCCGCCGTAGAACAACAGACCGTGAAGATCGCTGCCTAAGATTATTGGCCTTAAGGGACCGTTTCTCCACTACCAGGTCCATTGCAAATGAATGGTTTGCAGAACACGGAAGACCTATTGGCATGCGAAGTGTTTACCAACGAATGAGAAGTTTTGGCTTGTTTTCATACCGGCCACACTGGGTCCTCCCTTTAACTCGAGAACACCGACGTAATCGCCTTGAGTGGTGCAGACAACGGTCACTCTGGGATCAAGAATGGAACAGTATTGTCTTTAGTGACGAGTCTCGATTTTGTTTAGGCATGCACGATGGTCGTGCCAGGGTTAGAAGGCGACGTGGTGAAAGGAGGAATCCACAGTTTTTTGTTGAAAGACATGTTCATCACACGGTTGGAGTTATGGTTTGGGGTGCTATAGCTTATGGTTCCAGGTCACCTTTAATCTTCATCAGAGGTAACATGAACGCGCAGCGTTATATCCACGAAGTTCTAGAACCCCATCTTTTACCCCATCTTGACACCCTGGCAGATAAAACTTTCCAACAAGATAATGCCCGACCACATGTTGCAAGAGTCACAATAGACTTCTTTCACCATAATGATGTCACATTGTTACCATGGCCACCAAGATCTCCGGACCTAATTGAGCACGTGTGGGATATGATGGGTAGGAGATTGCTCAATTTGCAACGTCCTCCTCAGACTCTAGAAGCACTTTGAGAGGAGTTGGTGGTTGCCTGGAATGAGATACCACAGGAGGACATTGACCACCTGATCAGAAGCATGCCTAGGCGCGTTGGATAATGCGTAGCACATCAGGGTGCATCCACACATTATTAAAGGTCAAAGGGCATTTTGAAATTTTTATCATTTACTTATTATGCTTCATTAAGTAGTTATACAAAATTTTATTAAAATAAAACCATTTAAACTGGGTGTTCGGATTTATATGTCACTTAGTATATATTAACACCAATGATGCCCTCAGTCTCGCAAAATTTTTAGCCATTTATAATTGTTATTCCAATAGGTATAAATATTGCTAAAAGATTTAGCCTAATTGTTTAACGATTTTAATTCATAAAAAACAAATTTGTTTTTTTATGCTCTAAGGTTTCTAGTTTACCGATTATTTATAAAACTTAATTTCAAAATTATATAAGCAAAATACTGAATTTTGGGCTTGTCTCATTGTTTATAAAAAAACGACAACGCATATCTGGCTGTATCTATTTATGTCTTTGTCATTTAAGACTTGCAGATATCTGCTAAACTTTTTCTCGCCTTTTTTTTTCTAGCCTGGACTATAAGTACTAATTAATCGCAAAGGAGATATATCTTATCAGTATAAACTCCGTCATAGTTTATACAAGTATTTAATCAGAAAACACAAAAACTGTTTACATCTTTATACGATAACCTGACTATTTTTAAAATTGCTGATACATCTGATATTACGAAGTACCGTTAAATTGTCATGTGTAAGTTTGGCAAATGATTCGAGATATTTACTTATGAGCATATACATGTATATTTATATTTTGAACTTTTTCAAACTCCATGTCTCTTAATTTCAACTTGAGTTTGTTTATGGGCGATCTAAAGCTTTTAGATTAGGGTTATTCTACAAAAAATGGATAACTCAATGTCATCAATCAATATATATACTAAGTGACATATAAATACAAACACCCAGTTTAAATGGTTTTATTTTAATAAAATTTTGTATAAGTACTTAATGAAGCATAATAAGTAAATGATAAAAATTTCAAAATGATTGCACTGCTTTAAAGCCCTTTGACCTTTAATAATGTGTGGATGCACCCTGATGTGCTACGCATTCTCCAACGCGCCTAGGCATGCTTCTGATCAGGTGGTCAATGTCCTCCTGTGGTATGTCATTCTAGACAACCACCAACTCCTCTCGAAGTGCTTCTAGAGTCTGAGGAGGACGTTGCAAATTGAGCAATCACCTACCCATCATATCCCACACGTGCTCAATTGGGTATAAGTCGGGAGATCTTGGTGGCCATGGTAACAATGTGACATCATTATGTTGAAAGAAGTCTATTGTGACTCTTGCAACATGTGGTCGGGCATTATCTTGTTGGAAAGTTGGATCTGCCAGGGTGTCAAGATAGGGTAAAAGATGGGGTTCTAGAACTTCGTGGATATAACGCTGCGCGTTCATGTTACCTCTGATGAGGATTAAACGTGACCTGGAACCATAAGCTATAGCACCTCAAACCATTACTCCAACAGTGTGATGAACATGTCTTTCAACAAAAAACTGTGGATTCCTCCTTTCACCACGTCGCCTTCTAACCCTGGCATGACCATCGTGCATGCCTAAACAAAATCGAGACTCATCACTAAAGACAATACTGTTCCATTCCTGATCCCAGAGTGACCGTTGTCTGCACCACTCAAGGCGATTACGTCGGTGTTCTCGAGTTAAAGGGAGGACCCAGTGTGGCCGGTATGAAAACAAGCCAAAACTTCTCATTCGTCGGTAAACACTTCGCATGCCAATAGGTCTTCCGTGTTCTGCAAACCATTCATTTGCAATGGATCTGGTAGTGGAGAAACGGTTCCTTAAGGCCAATAATCTTAGGCGACGATCTTCACGGTCTGTTGATCTACAGCGGCGTCCAGTGCCCCTTGCTCTTTGCGTACGGCCTTCTCGAAGCCATGCCTGACAACACCTAACCACAGTGTCTACACTTCTTTGCACTCTAACTGCAATTGCCCGAAAAGAAAGTCCAGCTTCCCGAGTCCCACTATACGGCCCCTATCAAACTCACTAAGTTGACGAACTCGTACAGGTCTCCGTACTCTAGGCATCGTAACCGATCGTAAAGGATGTCAAGAACCAAAATCCGCCAACGTTGATTCTTTACTGCGGCTGAAATATTCATTTTTAGAGCGTTAGTGAATTAAAAAAAAGCAGTATAAAAACCGGAATGTCCAACTGATAAGGCTGAAAATTTTTTCACTTGTTATTTACAGTAAGATAAATACATTCACCAACTTTTATTAAAATAAAACCATTTAAACTGGGTGTTCGGATTTATATGTCACTTAGTATATTTCCTATAAATTACAGGTACCGGAGAAACAAGATTAACTCAAATTGGCTAATTTTAGTCCGGATACATTTTGGCTGTTGACCAGTAATTACAGAAGAAGATATACAGGTTTCCATTTGAAAAACGAAAGTCAAGGCCACTTTCTGTTATATAACCCAACAAGAAGTGCTTGACTATCTAAACATGTCTCAATCTTGGAGCGTTATCTTTTCTTTTGCCAAAAAATACAGCGTGTTTCTAATTTTCATTGTCACCCGGTATACCATAATATCCTTACCTGAACTACCTCCTGTCACCACGGCCGTTTTTCCGCCCATAAACACTGGACAACTAACATCAGGAAACATCCAATCCATGAATAGCCTTCGAATCGCCAAGGCGCCAATTATAAAAAAGATCAAAGTGACAAGAACCATGGTGCCGGCGGTGAACCGCTTCTATGCAAAACACTATCAAGTTCACTGTTTTTACCTTGGTTCTACTTGCGAATTTATCGTACTATCCGTTGCTAATTTTTTATGTAACACCCGACCGGTGTCTGCTGTATACTGACTTGTATCATAGAAACGCAATCATTGAATGGCGTTGATTAAACATCGTGGTCTGGGGCCCCGTATATACTACCGATCAAAAGTATTTGAGCACCCAGAAAACAAGGAAACTGATGGAAGTTATCAAAGAAAACATTACAATGAGCCGTATTCATAAAACAGAGGATATCCTTGTACTTGCAAATTTTGAAGGAAATCCTCCAGATGGTATTTGTAATAATTTGAAGTAAATGCTTTTGCTTTTTGAGTATATGGCGGAAATCGTGGATGTTAGAGATGTTAAAACGTACAAACCTCGTTTACCTTCACTTGGTCGTGACTTCCATACCTTATGACTCCCTTCAGAAATCATACTTTTTTTTAATAAGCCTTTAGTATACTAAGTGACATATAAATCCGAACACCCAGCTTAAATGGTTTTATTTTAATAAAATTTTGTATAAGTACTTAATGAAGCATAATAAGTAAATGATAAAAAATTCAAAATGATTGCACTGCTTTAAAACCCTTTGACCTTTAATAATGTGTGGATGCACCCTGATGTGCTACGCATTCTCCAACGCGCCTAGGCATGCTTCTGATCAGGTGGTCAATGTCCTCCTGTGGTATCAGATTCCATGCAACCACCAACTACTCTCGAAGTGCTTCTAGAGTCCGAGGAGGACGTTGCAAATTGAGCAATCTCCTACCCATCATATCCCATACGTGCTCAATTGGGGATAAGTCGGGAGATCTTGGTGGCCATGGTAACAATGTGACATCATTATGTTGAAAGAAGTCTATTGTGACTCTTGCAACATGTGGTCGGGCATTATCTTGTTGGAAAGTTGGATCTGCCAGGGTGTCAAGATAGGGTAAAAGATGGGGTTCTAGAACTTCGTGGATATAACGCTGCGCGTTCATGTTACCTCTTATGAAGATTAAAGGTGACCTGGAACCATAAGCTATAGCACCCAAACCATAACTCCAACAGTGTGATGAACATGTCTTTCAACAAAAAACTGTGGATTCCTCCTTTCACCACGTCGCCTTCTAACCCTGGCACAACCATCGTGCATGCCTAAACAGAATCGAGACTCGTCACTAAAGATAATACTGTTCCATTCCTGATCCCAGAGGGACCGTTGTCTGCACCACTCAAGGCAATTACGTCGGTGTTCTCGAGTTAAAGGGAGGACCCAGTGTGGCCGGTATGAAAACAAGCCAGAACTTCTCATTCGTCGGTAAACACTTCGCATGCCAATAGGTCTTCCGTGTTCTGCAAACCATTCATTTGCAATGGACCTAGTAGTGGAGAAACGGTCCCTTAAGGCCAATAATCTTAGACGGCGTTCTTCACGGTCTGTTGTTCTACGGCGGCGTCCAGTGCCCCTTGCTCTTTGCGTACGGCCTTCTCGAAGCCATGCCTGACAACACCTAACCACAGTGTCTACACTTCTTTGCACTCTAACTGCAATTGCCCGAAAAGAAAGTCCAGCTTCCCGAAGTCCCACTATACGGCCCCTATCAAACTCACTAAGTTGACGAAATCGTACAGGTCTCCGTACTCTAGGCATCGTAACCGATCGTAAAGGATGTCAAGAATCAAAATCCGCCAATGTTGATTCTTTACTGCGGCTGAAATATTCATTTTTAGAGCGTTAGTGAATTAAAAAAAAGCAGTATAAAAACCGGAATGTCCAACTGATAAGGCTGAAAATTTTCTCACTTGTTATTTACAGTAAGATAAATACATTCACCAACTTTTATTAAAATAAAACCATTTAAACTGGGTGTTCGGATTTATATGTCACTTAGTATATTTAATGGTTTACCGAATGTTGATTCGTATTTTTTCAACATCTTCTTCTAGGCATCGTCCTTTCTCATTTTGAAAAATAATGGAAGCAATGGCAATTTCATCTGCGATGAACTGCAGGTCGTTCCATCATTTTCTATAGTTTCATCACTTGAGGATGACATGCTTATTAATTTGATGAAAAACTGTATCCAGTAAAAATACGGAACGGTCTGTGTAAACTATGGAGTACAACTGTAAGTGATGCTGAGTGAACAAACTCCCACGTCAACTACAAGCTGGAACAAGTCAGAACATGTCGCTCAAATACAAATACCAGTCAACCTTGTACTTCTTCTTGGAGTATACCTCGCGGGTATAAGGTAATCATTATGAATATGAAAACAAGGATATGCTTATACTTCTACCTTTTTCTCCGAAGCAAGACCTTATACTTTCACCTTGTGCTTCCGAGGATATGCTTCTCTTTTATGAATACGGCTCAATATCTGTATCAAACATTTATATTCTTAATTCTTAACAACATACAACCATTTATGATCAAAATAATCATATTTTTTACTCATCAATATGTCCTCCTTTACATCTCGTCAAGTGTAGGAAGAGATATGAGGATTTGCTGGGATTGCGGACACGAGAGAGGGAGAACCCAAAACGGATGGCATGTACAATACGTGCCTGCTTTTTTATCGAAATTGTTGGCATGTGTCAAATTTTTAAATATCTTTTTGTGAGCTCAATATTCTAAATTTGGTAACGACATTAACGTTACAAGACTAAGTTCTAACATTTTCAGCGTCAGATAATCAATTCCACGAGCACCCGACCTTAAGCTATCTATTGCCTGTAGTATTATTTCATGTGGCTTGATAACTCTTAGAGAAAATTTGTTCAATGGGTTGAGTTTATGTGCATTATAAAATTGAGTTTGAGAGTATATAATATACAATTAACGAATCTATATCATTAAGATATCTTAAAATACAATTGTACGTCCACCAGAAACATGTAGAAATTTATATCTAAAAAAACAAGTTTTATATACTGCTTTTTCAATATTTTCGAAACAGCATAATACATTAGCTTTACATAATTGGTTTTATATTTCCATACCTGCTCGCTATCGAAGAAAGGTTAAATATCGGATTTATGTGATTATTTATATATATTTTTAATTGTTCACAATTTCAATTAATAAAAAATCAAATAAAAAGTAAGGTCAGAAAACTAACATCGTAATAGATACAGTTGGCAATATTTTAAAGAATTATGAAGTTTCACAGAGGATCAAATCCTGAAAGTTTGGAATCGGAATCTGAGCTACTATTTAAACATAAATCTTCGATTTCGCTATCGCTATCTTCGTCTAGGTTTATTATTATTTGATCGACAAATAAGTCGAGTGCTGGTTCCATTTCCATATACTGGTTACCCCTTTAACTCGTTTCAAGTATTTCATTTCAACTGCATGAAGTGTACTTTTTTGTTTTTGCTATAGAACTCCATATGTCAATATAGGTCTATATATTGTATTATACACCATCATTTTGGTTTTCTTGGGCATCTCTTTTTTATTGATAAAATCTTGACTCATGGCATACTACAAGTTGTTTTCCTTTCCTATCCTTTCAGAAATTCGTATTTCGTTTCTGCCGTTAGGTTCCAATATAGCTCCCAGATATTTAAAGGTGTGCACCTGTAATTTTACATTATCTATTCTTACGTCCATATGGAGTTTCTCATTTGACACAGCCATAACTGTAGAGTTAGGTTTATTTAGTTTCATACCATTATCTTCAAGTACTACTCCAAACGTTTAAATTTTCCTGTACACTCCCAACACCAAATCATCTGAAGAGGCGCACTCTGGCTAGTTCCACTTTTTGCAACTTGCTGTATCCAACAAAAATTTTTGGTTTTGTTCCTTAACTGCATTGCTTTATCAGATCATCCATAAATACTATAAACAATAGGGGACTAAGCCCTCCACCTTGACGTACTCCCTCTGTAGTAGCGAATTCTTCAGACATCATACTTCTGGGCATTACTCAGTTGTTAGTCTTGTGATATGATCACTTCTACTAATTTTACAGAAACATTTCTTCTCAGCAAATTCTCCTTTAACCTTTTTCATGGAACTCAGGTTTTTAATGGTAAATATGTGATCCTGACGGCTTCTTCCCTTTCTGAAGTCACTTTGTGTTTCAGACAATGTCGGCTCTATTAACTTTCTCACTTTTTTCTCTAGTATGTGCTCATAGGCCTTGAGTACTGTAGACAACAGCGTTATTCCTCTGTAATTATTACAATCTTTCTTGTCTGCTTGCTTAAAAAGTGCTAAAATCAGCGCTGTTGGCTTAATGTTGTGTGGAATGCAAATTTGCTTTCTGCAGCATATTTGCTCTAAAATGATGTGTCTAAAATATTCTTGTAGCATAGCTATACATCATCTTATAGGGCAAAGTTTGAACTATTATATAAACGTTTATACAACTATTTTATACATATTTGACCGCTAGTCAAAGTAGTTGTTGTACCATCCTTAGTAACATTTGTACAAGAAACCCGAGCCTTGTTGTCTTGGTGCGCAAAATTACTACTTAATCCAACAAATGCAAACCGTAATTAACCAGCTGTGGCGTTGGAACTATGAGAAAAACTAGGAAAAGTTATTTTTGTTGATTACCTACAAACCTTGATGGCAATATGAATGAACAACTTAGATATTTGCTCCCAATGGAAGCACTTACACAACTGTCGTTTAGTAACTGTCAAAGGCCACAATATCACAGCTTTTACAGTACAAAAATACTGTGCTCGACATACATTTGTTGCCTAATATGTTTGTTACACAACTTCACCATATCCTAACTTTTTGCTGTCATCTTCTTAGGTTGAATGTCGTAACCAATATTTTAAGATAAGCAAAGCATGAATATTCATTTAATGGATTTATTAACTTTCTAAGCAGAAGATATAGGTCTGATACACCCTCTAAGTAAATTATTCGACTCTGTCCGGATTGCATTTCAGAGATTTGTCAAATTGCTATATAACACCTGCAGTGCTGTGTAAGGAATACTGTATAATCGTTCTTGCAACTCTAATAGGAGTGATAATAAGTGTAATTTAGTCTATGGCTGTTGGATGTTGCTAAATAAATAGATAAATATACCAAAGCCTTAAGATGACCGAGATATTAAGTTCCGAAGTGCCTAAGTTACTGTAAATGGGCTAGCCCGACCCTGCCTCCTCCT